GTAATTGGTACTACTCAAATAATCCAACAGACTTCATGAGACTGCTGGCCCATGTAATTTGACACACACAGAGATAATCTGCAATATGCCATAGCACAGTTATAAAATTTTTAAAGTCGCTTAATTTGAAGCAGTTTTGTATAGTAATTCAGTGCTTAGCCCTTCAACTCATGTCATAAAACTACAGTGAAAGCTTTTTCATAAACAGGGCAAAACGTTGAAAATACAAGCAGCCTACTGTGGAAAAGTATTTGATATTAAAAAAAAAAATCACAAATCCAACTAATACGCAGGTATAAATTCTCTGAAGGATAGTGAAGTCTGGTTAGTTTTCTTTGGCGATAGTATAAAATTTAATATGCATGATAAGGCTGATGACAAGCAGATCTACAGCTACTATTGACCAATCTTGCATTCACATTCATAGTGTTATCACAGTAAATGTGTTAATGAAAGAGCCCATCGCAATAATTCTGTCTTTTCACACAGAAATTTATGTAGAAATCCATATTCAGACCACCAGCTAAGATATTAATTGAGCAAATACAACACAGCTAGGGCACTTTTTCCTGGATCTCACAATCTTACATCGGTAAAAAACTTACAGCATGTAATACACATTTTCTGCTTCAACAAATTGCAAATTTTTTTTCAAATTACAATTTTCCTTTTATCTATCCCAGCTACCATGATAGACATGGTAAATAAATCACATTAGACAGTAATACATGAGGTTGAGCTATGCAGCAGTGTTTTGCTTTTATTTCAGGAATAATAATGCTAGAACATCCAGGAAAACAGCTCATATAAGAACAGTTCAGTGGTTTGGAGATATTGGAACTAACACATCACATTTAACAGTCAGCTTCACTACACTTGGAAAGAATTCTGGTGTTTTGAACACATGTGGAACATGAGAAAAGTTACCTACATCTCGTGCAAAACTTACACCCTAAGAACAATTATGAAATAAAAAAGGAATTGTACATTCAGCAGAAGAGACATCATCATCACCAAAGTGAGCCAGGCAGGTAATTCAAATCAAAGTAAACATAAATTTAGCTTAAAGATGCTTTCCATTAATTTTTTTATTTTAATTCAATTTTTTGAGTACTTCCTAAAGAGAAGTATTTTCTGAAAATCTATACTAAAGTGAAAGTGATAATTCCAATGGACAATTAGTATAATACCAAATTGTAAACCAAAGAAAAATAACATTACTTCTGTTGATCTATTTTAGTAAATTGTAAACAAATATTCTCCGTTTGTACCAATGGCAATGAGAAATTTCTTACATCAGTATTGTTTGAAAAATAATTGAAGTGCATTCTAAAAATGGATTTTTAGTTGTTTCTAATAGCTTCTATCATTGATTTCTCAAATTAGACATAATTTCATTCTGAGATGGAGATAATTCTCATAATCAAAAACCTTCAGATTTATTGTTTTAAGAATGATTTTTTAAAAAAAAGACATACAACATCTTCTATTAAGCTAAGATTTGCCAATAGAGTGCTCTCTACTACAGAAATACCACAGTTATTTTCCTATTTATTAATATACAGTAATTATTTTTAAGTGCTCATTTTTTCAACTGAGACTGTTTTGTTGTTGTTATAATCCAGAAACATAACACCATCTCTGTTATGAACACTACACCTCTGGAAAAAAAAAAGGTGACTTTTTTTTTAATAGAGAACAACCCTGAGGCATGAAGATTCTATTCTGTTGGTCACAACATTCAAAACCAATAAGATACTGGTACATTGTTTCACAGTTTCTGAATTTTGAGCTAAATATATAGATTCATGAGGTATGCACAAGCAGACATTAAGACTTACATACACAAATGCTTGGAAACACAAGCCATAGAAAAGGAGGGTTGATCTCATGCAAGTAACTCCATGGAATTCCATAGATCTTTCCCCATCTTGCACCAGTAGAACAAAGCAGTTGGTCTGTTGGATTGTCTCACTGCTATTAAAGCCTTCTAACAGATGGATCTAGAATCTGAATTCACGGAGGTATAATGAAGTCATACTGAATGACAAGAATTCACCTTGGCTTTTTTAAAGTTTCATGGAAATAAAAGGCTATATAACCAGTAAACACAACCTGCTGCTTCCCCCTTGTCTCAGCTGTATCCTACAAAAATCAAGAGCAAAGTTCATATTATTTATCACACTACAATATTTTGGTTTCAGGTGTTCTTCCCTCTCCTTACCCTTTCCCTGCTTTCAAAATGCATCTCCAAGCTACCAATACTCCAGTAAAGACATTTAACCAATGTTAGTCACCTTAGATTAAACAGCATAACATCTTAATCTCCATGTACTGTATAAGGAGAGTTATGGTGACCCTTCCAGTTTCTTGTTTTCTAATTCATTAGGGATTCACATTAGATAGTATCTAGCCCTTATTATGTGGTTATATTTCTAGCCAAAAGGGACAAATTTATAGTAGAAAAATGCCATCTTGAGCCTACTGGGGGGGAGGGGGGAAACCAAACCCCCTCCCCCAAAAAGCAACAGAATTAAGGTCCTAATCCTGCAAACATGTAGTTACTCAAAAACAATTCAATAGTATTATTCAGAATGTAAGAAAAAGGTTGTGAAATGAAACTAAATAAAGCTTCATTAAAATGAACAAATCCTCCACTTTTTTGCATGGTTGGAGTTCCTTGTCCAAAGAAGCAGATGTATAAATAACCACTCCTTAGGAACAACTTGCCTTTTCTCTTCATCTAGCCTTTTTTCTTCACAGATCCCTGGAGAATAAGTGTTAAGTCTCAGCACTCCAAAACAGAGGAGTTGAATTTAATTTTTAAGTTAAGATCCCTCCCCCTCCAATATGGAAAGAAAATTTGAAATACATGATAAATAGACTTTCAGGGTTTTTTTATTTGTTAAAGCCAATTCCTGTATTTTCTTCATAAAAATTACTCAGCTTGTGTCATTGGTATTCTTGCCCAAATTTCAAGTTGCTCTAAGCAGACATTAAATCCAGACTGTCACCCCATATGTCTAGTGTTAATACAGTCACCTTTGCCTCAGAACAGCAAATCTAAGATCTTAAAAAATTAAACTCCTTAATCAGAGAAACATGATGACTTCTCCAACCCAGATAGGTATTTATAAAACACTTTCGTTACTTCCCTATGAATCCATTCCCATCTTCTTAGAGTCCTTCTGTTATTGTGGTACATAATAAAGAGGGTCAGGTCAGACTATGCCAGCTCATTGTCTCACACATAATGGCTCCAGCCAACACACTTCAGGTATTTCTCTTTTTGTCAAACCTCCAGTCCCTTCACTATTGCATCAGACTATCTTCCAGTAATTCATTCAAACTCTCCCTCTGCCAATTTCTCCCTTTGTACTTTCTAGGGCAGTCATTTTGCTGTCCTCTGTGCTGTTTTAGACATCAGGAAAAATGCACTGAAAACAGAGGAAAAGAGTCTCATTCCTCATTTCTGTGGCACAGTAGCCAAGACAAATAATTTCAGATAGACACCAGCTCAGCCCCAATAGGATTCTGTAACACACTGGTTTTCCAACTTTTTTCAAATTCTAACCCATTAAAATATTTGTCACTAGAGACAAAATACTGCGAATTAAAAGCTGATGATAGGCTTATAGTATCAAATGTATCTTGTGAGTTTCTCAGAAGCAGCTTAAGTTTCTTCCAGCGAGCCTGTGGATCAAAAGCAGAAACCAATTTGAGGTAGCGGGATATTCAGTTGCTCTGTGTGTATAATACATGTGTGCTCTGATTGGCACCCTAGAGATTTGAGAGGGGGGGAAAAAAAAAAGGCAGCATGTTCAGTGGAGAAAAATCTTCAGAATACACAACAAAATGTGTAACAAAAGTCATATCTCCAATTCCAAGAGTATTCCATTATATTTCAAGTCCCTAACTCAAATTTTGAAAACTGAAGAGGCTCTTAATGAAATATGTTCCCTAAATTCATTCTCATACACAGATTAATAGTTTTACCGGAAATGTTACAAAATAAAAAGAAAGTCTGGCATACTTTGAGTCCAGAAGAATGGAAGTTTGACAAGCTTTCAAGCAGGTGGAAACAGTTTTACTAATGAACATCAGGTAATCGTCACTAAAACTTCAATACCAGCTCCACATCTGCATTAAGCAATCATTAAAGGCAGGTTTTAATATTTAAGTTTTTAAAAGTTATAAGAAAAGATTATTTACAGAATTAAATTTGATACTTAATACTACCTTGTCCTTCCCTCAGTGGCAGTGATCGCTATCAATCCTACAACATTGTCTATTACAACGTAATAAGCAAAGAGGAGGTTAGGAAGAAGAGCCCATGCTTTTTTTTTTTTAACCCAGTATAAAACTATAACATCCTGCATGGGGTTGTAAACAATTTCATTTACGGAAAAAAATAAAAAGGTGTGCCCACAGGTAAAAAGAAATCCTTTTAGTAAAGACAATAAAGTACTCAATATAAAGTCATAAAATTTTGGCATAGGTCTACTTGCATGGTCCGTGACAAGGAACTGTATGGAGAGGATGTGTAAGGTGGGTAGAAAAGAGAAGAATGGGGTATACAGTTTGTTACAGGTTTAAGCTAAATGTTCAGAATTCTCTCTATATAGAGAGATACAGAAAGACATTCTACAGAGCCAGATAGTAAAGAGCAATTCATAAGAGCTGGCCACAGTGCACTGAATTCCCTTTTTTTCCTTAGCTGTTGCTTGAGAGATAAATTAGGTAATAGCACTGCCATGCTGACCAGTAATACCAGAATTATGAAATTTATCAGTACAGTAATTTTACTGGTATGAAAACTAATGAACAAGAAGAGTTTTATCAGGAGCATAAAAAGCCAAGTTATATTGATGCCATAGATATTATCTCTGTGCTTTAAAATCCTTTTAGTCTTCCTAGATGCATTCCACTGGGGAAAAAACAAAAAATCAAGATAAACCAAATACATACAGAAACACACTCACTCAAATGGCACTCATTGCTTTTTGTACAATTAAGCTTTAGTGAAAATATACATCTTAAAACAAATGAAGTACAAATGTACAAAAATTCTTGAACTCAGATAAAAAATACATATAATACACTTTGCTACAGAGATATAAAACATTTGAAGTTTTCTCATCCTTTCTGATGAGAGTAAAATGATTTAAAGTCTGGAGGACTCCTGCTCATCATCACTGCAATCAGATTTAAAGCAGACCTGCAAAGGAACACAAAGAGACAATTCAGGTGTGGAACTGACACTATTGTTGGTTTGTGTGTTTTACGGGGCACAGAAAGGCTGGGGGGGTGGAGGTGGCTCTTTTTCCAGCACATTTTACTCCATACTAACTGAATGCTTTGGGAATATCAAAGGAAACCACAATCCAACCCCAAATCTCAAATCATTAAAGTTTCATTTAACTTTAAGTTCTTTTTTTCTTTTAACTTCCCAGGACAATTAACTGCAGTCTTATCACTTCAAAACCAACTGAAGGTTCTTAAGCTGTATTAACTTTTTTAGGACTCTTTCTCAATACATAGAACCATATCTTGGGACAGATGCTGATTCAGCTGGAAAAGACTACAGTAAGACACAAGCTTTAACTTCAGCTATGTGAGATTATTAGTAGAACCATACCTTGGGACAGTAGGAACCCTGCTGATTCAGCTGGAAAAGACTACAGTAAGACACAAGCTTTAACTTCAGCTATGTGAGATTATTAGTACACTTAACCTTCCTTCTATTCCATTAATGTTAAGTGGGGGAAAAGTGAATTTGAAAAGGTGAACTAAAAATGACAGTACTATTATACATTCCATTAGCATTGTACCATTTTAGAGAGATGAATTACCAGCTGATGACAAAAAATACCATCATGCAATTTTAATACATGGCCCTGTTGTGGCTACTTAATGATACGCTCCTAGCAATTTTAAAATTCCATTTCTGTTTGAAAGCAAAAGTAATTTCTACAGAAGTGTTCTCTACTGGAATATACTCATGCCTCTCAAGATAATTCCACTCTAAGTGCAGGGATACTGAGCAAGCAGAATTGCTTACAACATCTTTGACTGAAAACCTTTAGAAATAGCCTATTTCTGACAACCTATAAACAAGCACAATATGCCTCTTGTCTTTTAGGTGGTAAATACTCAATTCATATACCTCTAAGTGTTTACTAAAGAGTAGAAGTTATGTATGTAAGAAAAGGCTGTGCCCTATCAGCTACATAAACATATATTATGTTGGTGTTTTGGTAAAGGCATTAAACTACCCAAGATACTTTAACATTTGTTTCGTGACACTTCTTCACACTCATTCATTTAGGGAATATTTTTACTTATTTCCTTAATACACTAGAACGATTCCTTGGGAGCCCAGCTTTCTAAAGGAGCAAGTCCCAGGAGCTGCGTTGCTTTACCACACTCCTGAGTTCATTAGTCAATTTTATTTAACTTTTCACAGAGCAGGCTGCAATTATATCTGAAGTCATCTCCTCAGAAGTTTTTATACAAGAATGGCAAAATATGTAAGGAGCAAGACCCAAATTAACATCTTTAGGAAAGAAATATCCTTAATATCTTTAGGAAAGAAAGATCTATCACACAGCTGTTAACAGCACACACTACCTTTCCCCCAGGTAACAGCTAGCACACGCTAGGGGAAGACAGAATGCTGAGGGAGGAAAAACTTCTGGAGTTATAGGAATTGCCAGTTTCTGAAATGCAATGCAGGGGCAAAGTCATAATAAACCAGATTTCATTAGTTGCAGTATTCAGTGAACAACTTGTTTTTCCTATCACAAAATGATATAAAAAAAATCAAATGGATATTAAGGTGTTACTGGTAATTTTCTTATGAAAGAAAAGAAATACCCTTACCTCTCCACTAAAAAGTCTGTGAAAGAAGCCTCTCTTTGGTTTAGGAGACCTCTCTCTGTCTGGTGACACAGTACCATCAGTTTCATATGCATTGATATCTTCAAAGCATCCTGTTTCAATCATCTTTGAAACATATGAAATATAAATGAAATATCCATAAAAGCCCCTCAGATAATTTCCGTATATTATCTATTTACTCTGACTGGGTATGCCTAACAACTTAGAAATTCATCAGCCATACTACACCACTCACAGAGCTCCAAGAAGGAAGGCACAAAGTCTGCATTAACTCTCCTCATGCACCCAATGAACTAAAGAATAGCAATGAGAGCACTATCATGCAGGTGAGTACTCAGATGTTCCCTTGGCTTTGGTAAGGCATTTCTTCTGCCCATGATGCAATAAGCAGAAGTTTTTAGAACGAGAAATTGATTTTCCTTTCATCTATTCTACTCATTTCAGAGCAGTCTAGCCTAAGAAATATAGTATCTCTATACCCTGGACTGAACTTAACTAACAAATACGACATTGAGTAGGAGAAATTATAATTCTACGCAGAATACTAGTACCTGCACAGTATTGGGGGGATACTTTTTACAAAGGGGACGAATTACACTCTTGAGGAAAAAGCACCTGATGTCTGACCACAGTAATTTAAACATCATTCTGGTGTTTTGAACAACTGTCTATCAAACACAACTAACATATCCCGCAATTAGAAATAAGGCAATGAGATAGAGAAGGTAATACTTCATTAAAAAAAAAAAATATAATGAAGGTTTGTCTCTGGAGAGAAGCAAGGGATTTTGAAATAAACTGTGTTTGTGTACACAAAAACCAGAAAAATTAAAAACACAATTAGAAAGAGTAAATGCCAAAACGTAACAAAGAGTCATGGTCAGAAGGGGGAGAGTCGCTAATGCCCACATGTAGTTGGCATTTATTGGTGAGTGCCACTGATACACACCTACCATAATGGGCATGCAACCAAATGAGTATACCTTGTAGAGGGAGAGAGGGCATAAAGAAGAACAAGAAGAAATGCAGTCTGCTTTTGTTGTAAACCATGACATTAGGTAAATTATAGGAGGAGAGGAGGAATTCTTAAGAGACTGAGAGCAAAGATTTGAGGGAAAGCTCAGCCACATGAATTAAAAGAAAAAAATAAGCACAAATGTAAAACTAAGTCTGCAGAATTATTCCTTGAAGAGAAGGAATTGCCATCACCAGAATTCTACAACTACTTTCAACTTTATCCCTCTATATGGAGTCAGAGTCATTAAGCTGCAGTTCATTTCTTAATGACTGGATCATATTCTGAAGTTCAGAATTACAACATAGCATAGGAAATATTTATTTCTCCAAAAACCTAAGGTTCATTGCTTCTTAATGAAGATTTCCTATGTCAAATGACACCTTTCAAATCTCCTTCTTAATGTAATCCAAAAAAAAAAAAAAGAAAAAGGGAAAGTATTTTTTTCCTCTGAGTTGTTCAGAAATTGTTCGTCTTTTGTGTTCAAGCTTTAAATAAAATTAAAAAATCATACTGAGAAAGAAACTACACTAGTAGAACTCAAGACAATAGTAATTTCAGAAAGTTATGAACATCTTGTAATAGGGGGAAGGCATTCACAGCAAGAAATGTAATTTTAAGTAATTGTTACTCAGTGCTCTTCCTGAAATAATAAAGATTTGAATTTCCTAAATACAGACTGAACTGCACGCAGAGGTAGCAAAATATTCTATGCAGAATACCAAAATACTCATCCACTAGGCAGATGAAAAAGCTTTAAGAGAAAGTCTGACTCAACTAATATTGACCTCTTTGTTTTGAAACCTTAGAAAAGGTGAATCTGCAGTTCTGTACTCCTATGTCACTTGGATAGGATACTCTATTGATACACACCATGATACACAAACAGCTTGCACTGTGCCTATATGCTTTTGAATACTTTGAATAGCATTCTGTCCCTCTCCTATGAACAGCAATATTGAACAACATGTGATAGAAGAACAAGGAAAATGTGGTCATACTGATGCTAAATACTGTTCTGTATGCTGTATCTACGATAACAAGATACTGGATTTTATTTATGCAAATTTACCATAGATCTCAATTTTTAGGAAGTTGTTTATATGTTGGGAAAAACTTTTTTCTGAAGTCTCTCAGCAAAGAAGTCTAAAGTAGAAACTTCTTTACATCTGACAGAGAAAGTTAACACTATAATTATATCCCTTATTAAATCTTCTATATTGCTGTGCTAAAGAGAATAATCATTTATGAAATACACAATACCTCATTTTGCCAAGGGATTGAGACACAACCCGTAACAAATTTGGAATAGAAGTCATCATCTGTAGTATCCAAGTTCACTCCTTTTACTGTTGAGAACTGCTCTATGTCCAGGACGTCTTTACAATATACGGCACGTGGCTGCAGTACAATACAAGATTGCTTCATTAAGGTTTTGGTTTTGGGGTGTTTTGTTGTGGTTTTTTTTTTTTATTATTATTATTTATTTTTCTTTCCTAGATGAACAAGGGGGAGCAAAATGTCTGCAATTTTATATTTCACATTGCTGATCATCAAATTACACTATACTACAAAACAGAAATGCAAAAACTTAAAAGACTGTCTTCATAAGGCACCTGAGCAATTCCATCCAACTGGCAAGTAACAGAAAAGAAATATCAAAACCAGAAACAGGATGCAACTTCTCTGGATTTTTTAATGGTTGTCATAATTCACTCATCTTCTGTCATCCTCCTTTCAACTCCAGAGTAATTTCTTCAGAGCTAATCTTCATTTGTTCAGCATCTGAGCTATGGAAGTAGACTTTTAAGGGCTAAGAAATCAGTTACAAAGCTCCCAAGAGCAAGAGCACTGTTGTAAATTGTTTTGGTACCTCAGATGAAATGCCACAAAACAAGTGTCTATCAATAGCTGCAATGGCATTCTCCTGCCAATTTAACTAACTTTAAAGGTTTCCCTGGAGTTCACATGATTGTTGACATAGAATTAGGACAGTTCTTGCCTTTTTAGATACTAATCAAATCTGTCTCACCTACTTACATCTGGCAAGAACGGAGGTTCTAGCATGTTAGCTTCTAGCCTCTTGAAGTTAATATTCTTGAAAATAGGATGTTGCTTTACAATAGCAGCTCCATCTTCAGTGCAGCCCAGTCGTTCCTCTGGATTTTTAGCAAGTAACTGCAAAGGTATGGAAAAAAAAGGCTGATTCAGTGATGTAATCCCACAATTTAAAAAAAAAAACAAAAACCACCAAACCCAAACAAAACCTATATACAATGGCTTTCAATGAGTATTTTGTTACTTGGCCTTTTGTTAGATAAAATCTATCATGGCATCATAATGAACTGGAAATCCAAACTACAACATTCTGCAAATTCAGTAGACAAAAGAATCCCTGAAAGCAGACCATTTGAAGATTATAGCCAAAGTTATATGAGAATATTTTAATTGGTGCCAGAGATTTTACAGTAGATTTTGCATTAGACCTTACTTTCAGGAAATATAGACTTACTTTTTTTTCCAATAGGCTTCAATGATGCACAAATTTTGCATAAACTAGTAAAGAAAACTTTTGAAGCTTTCTGTATAGATGTGCCTCTTATTAAGTTTAAGAACATGCAAGACAAAAAAAAAAAAAGCTGTTGTCTCATACAGACTCTTTTAGGCAAGGAAAATAGTATACTACTCTGCCACTTCTCCTGATAAAGTATCAAAGTTAAGCATGCTATTGTACTCCATCTATAATTACACATGGTCCAAGGAGTACTGGACCTTTTCATTCATGTGATGAAAAAATCAATTTATGCAGCTTTCCTTCATCTTGAAAAAATTTCTGAATTCTCAAAGTTTGACAACTGAACAATTCATGGACAATCACAAACTTCCATCTGAACCAAAGAAAGATTTGAGAACTCCAGCTTTGAAAATTTTTCAATAGAAGACATTAAAATAAAGTAGTTCATCTCTTAAAAAGGATTAGAAATTTAATTTTCAAACCTCTACATCTCTTCACCCACCATCCTGCAGATGGATTTTGCCTCCTCTGAGAACTTGTCTGAATATGTTTCCTGGTCTTCCTTTACTCTCCGGTCAATCTCATCCCGTTTGACCCTTTCCTTATGCTTCCTGAATGGAGATTGTCCTTCAATCATTTCATAAATCAAGCACCCAAGACCCCACCAATCCGGGCTGAATGTATACTTTTCATTTTTGAGCACCTCTGGAGCTACAAAACAAAAGCAAACAAACCCCATAACAATTCACTTTAAATTGACTAATTAAATATTGGAAAAACTCTCAGGTACTCTTTTGGCTCTGTGCAGAGATCTTTGTGTAACTCCTCTGTACTTTGAAGAAACATTAATTTCTACAGCAAGGACTCTGTTTTTATCCAAGAGAAGTACTTCAAGTTCTTTAACACTTAAGATCACTATTGTTTACAAACTAAGTTTTTCCACAGCATGGAAAGAAATGTGTTCATAGAATTATAGAATCATTTGGGCTGGAAGGGACCTTTAGAGGTCATCTAGTCCAACCCCCCTGCAGTAAGCAGGGACATCTCCAACTAGATAAGGTTGCTCAGAGCCTCATCCAGCCTGACCTTGAATGCCTCCAGGGATGGGGCTTCCACCACCTCTGGGCAACCTGTTCCAGTGCTTCACCACCCTCATTGTAAAAAATTTTTTCCTTATGTCTAGTGTTGTCATAGTAATTCATCTGCTTACCTGTGACCCTAAATCTCTTTGAACCTCAGAAAAAAAAGCAGGTGCTTTCTTAAATTTCTACCTAAAACTAGAATTTCCAGAGTTAAGTTTTTGAGTTTATCAGTAGGCTTATAATTGACTACTAACATCTACCACCACATATTGTAACTTTTCTTCCCATAAAACATCCAGTAACTAATCCAGGCCCAATATAGTTCTTTGGATAAGTCATTCATATATTCACAGAAACAGATTTTCTGGTAAAATGTAACTAGCAAATGATACTTTACATACCCATGTAGCCAACAGTCCCAACACGTCCTCGGACTGTTTCTCCTTCTGGAATCTGCACAGCTAATCCAAGATCTGAAATTCTGATATGTCCTATTTATGTTAAAATAAATTATACATAGTCAGCAAATAATAAAGTACCATCACTTTTAAAACAAAACATTTCTGTAGCATACCTCATCACAGAAACCCCCCAAAACATCAAAACATTGATATACTCATAGTACTAAATTTATTTAACTTAACTAGAAAGCAGTGATTTATCATTACTCAACTCTTCCTTAAATATGTAAAGGAAGAGAGGCACAGATCTAACTGATTTCCTGAAGGTCATAGAAAAAAAAATTTACTGTTAAGTACTCGAATTCCTAGCTTTGGCATAGGCTGTTACTCTAAGACAAATAGAAATGATGACTGCTCATTTCAAATTCTGTATCTACACATCAGACACTTGTATTTTCCCATTCTGTATTCCCACTACAAATACTTAGCTTTCTGACTTCCTAACAAAATATCAGAATTTACTCCATTTATTCCAAATACGAGAAGACTGTAGCCTGTACTGAGACACCAGGTTTTCCTCTAACAAAGTACTCTAGTGCTGCTAAACACAAATAATTGGAATTGCTATCCCCAGTCCCACCCCAAAAGAAAAGCAGCCTAGCCATAACCTACTCAGAATTAATTATATTGTAACATGTCAGTTCAATATTAGGATTTCCCCTTCTCATGAATCAGTCTAATGTAGATAACAGCTTCTATTTCACATTATCAGCCAAAATTCTCAAGTTGACTACCTTTGCTATTATGTATGGCATTTACACTAGTACCTATAACGCAGAAGTAGTCTGGTGGAAAGACCATGATTTGTCATGAACAGCACTGCTCTTCATGGGGAAACAGCCCAAGAAGGGCAATCGGAATAAGTTCACCTCACCCTCCTTCCTTACATTCCCATGGACAGATACAGTTCTTTGCTGGACAGACTCAACAGCAAATGGTTCAAGATGGTTCAAGACAAGAATTGTATTGGCATGATTATAATTTAAAAATATGTAAGGTACTGTCTGAATAAAAATATAAAAGGCTAGACAGAAGAAAGGACAATTACATTTTCAACTTAATTTTAAAACAAAATTGCCAATCATCTGTAGTAGAAAGATTTGGGGGGGGATTGGGGAACAAAACAAAACAAAACCCACACTTATTTCTATACTGGATATAAGGACAGGGGCATCGTCATTAATGAAACATCACAGTTTCACAGAATAATTCAGGCTGGAAGGGACTTCAGAAGGTCTCTAGTACAACCTTGTGAGCAAGCAGTCAGCCCAAAGCGTTCAAAGTTTTTTAAATTCTTGTCTAGAAAGCCTCCAAGAGCGGACACTGCATCACCTCTCTGGGTAGTCCATTCCAATGCCCACATGTCCTTTGTGCATATATTCTCTGTCATTCAAAAAGCTCCACAGCATGAATTTTAGTTAATAGCATATTAATTTCTTATTTACACGATAAATAATCAAGGGGTGAGGAGAGAGAGTGGAGAAAGTCAAGTGCCACTCTATATACTGGTTGGAAATAACTAAATGCTCTTGAGCAGCAAAAGCTATTTTAAATACATTCAGATGCTCTTCTATTCCTTGACATCTGATGAACCCCTTTTCAAGTGCAGGATCTGAGCTCCTGAAGTGATTTTCTAATTAGTCCCCTCTGCTCTCTGGAACAAGATCAGAATATCCCTGGCAGAGAGAAAGCATTCTAGTGCAGCCCTGCAAGGCTACATTTTTCCTCAAAGAAGGCTTCAGTTTTTGCAAGACGTTCCTGGAGAAAAAATATTAAAGAATGCATTTGATGTCTAGCAAAGCTTTAGCTCTTGAAAACTGACTTCTCCCAAGCATCTTTTTAGAAATTTATCAGTCAGAACACGCTGACTTCAAAAACAGTTTTTCCTTAACTTAAATACTCAGCAATTACGAGAAAAAATTGGTAATATTCATCCATAACTTAGAAGAAGGTAATTGATGCACATGTTCTCCAGTGAATACAAAGGATTCTAATAAATTTTATACAAAATCATTAAAGAAAATTAATTTGGCTCTTGAAAAAGAAAAAACTACAAACATTTCTTCATATTGTTCGTACTTCCTTGATTCCTTCCAGCCATATATGCATCAGTGACTATCAGACCTGTTTAAGTTGAAACATTAAAAGAAACGGAGATGCTTCGGATTTCTTTATTGCTTAAACGATACAGTTTACTAAGTAAAATTCTGGCCCCGCATGTAACAAATCATGTTTCCGCAGTCAAAAAAAAAGAGAAACAGAGAACAAATCCATATAAAAGTTTTAGCGACCTTAAATCAATTTAAATTTTTACTTACCACAGTCATCAAGGAGTATATTCTCAGGCTTCAAGTCTCTACAAATTAAACAGAATAGAAATGTGAATTGTACAAAGGCAAAATTATTAGCCATCATCAAGTGCAACTGAGGCAACATAAGACTTCTTGGTTCAGATTAAAGAATTTTTTCCAGTTTCCACCTATATACAAAAAAACCCCCATGTTCTGAAGTTGAGGACTATAATACAAACAGTTTAACCATAGAACTTGAGATCCATTTTTTTCCAATTCTCTAATCCATTTATATTAACAACAGCAATTCATATTTCACAGATGAGAAACCTTCTCTACACAACACTAAAATCCTTATACGAAGGACCACTAACTTACACCCAAATTTGTGCTCATGAGAGACATTTCTCTAGAGAGTATCAGTCATACAACTCCACAATAGTAAAACACATCCATGCTTGGTGCAGTTTGACGCTGACCCCTTACCATATTCCACCCCAGGGTGTCAGAATATATCAACAAAGAGTAATATTCCCAAGACTAAGCATAGGCTTAATATCATCCGTTCAAAGTCCATTCTTCTAATTTGGACATGCAGCTTCTAAAGCTTACTAGACATTTCATCTAGTTAGGATTCTTTGCAATCAACTTTCTAAGAGTCTCTACTACTTTTCTGTAAAGATCAAAGTTTCACATGAAACATTTTTTAGCTATCAAATGCTAGCAAGACTCAGGAAATAACAAAAGGGCAAGTAATACAGTGTTGTAATTCTGCATTTTATAGGCATCTTTTGTACATTTTTACTTTAAGAACAAAAGAAGAAACTCAATGGGATATTTGGATATCCCCCCTGTCCAAGGAAAATTTGGAGAGTCACCGAAGCTGAATAAGAAGCTGTTCAGAGGTTACTTCTAGGATTTATCCTCTAGCAGATTCTACTGAGAACACAGATATTTTTATATATATAAAATATATATATGCATGGAGTATATGTATAAAAGATAATGTATATCATACATCAAATTGTGATATGTATCGGAAAGTATGTGGACTGCAATACAGTCTGTTAGATTTATTCCAGCAAAAATATCGTAAGGCCAGAAACAGACAAGCAAAAATCAGTACTTGGCTAAAGATTCAGTTATTATTGCAATAGATTATTAAAAACAGTATGTACATATACGGGTATATGTACAGTTGTGACAAGAACAGTTATTCATATACAAGCAGAAAAGACTGAATAATGTAAAAGATGCAATTTTAGGAAGAACAACTGTAGAACTTACATTTAAAATGAGAGAAATATACACTCACACACTTATTCACCAATAAAGCTGTATGCTTTTTTTCCCCAAATATTGATAAATCAATGCTCTGAAGTATGTGTATTCATGTTAAAGTTTCATTATTTCATTAGATTAACTGTATAAAGAAGTCAGCAAAATGCTTTGCTTCCAATACTTTTAAGACTAGGCAGTCCCCATAATGTTAATCGTTTCATGTTAGATGTGAGATTACAATACCAGAGAAATCAGGAGAGATCAGAGTGAAAAAAAACAAAACAAAAAACAAAACACACAAACCCCACACCAGTATCAAAAAAGAAAAAAAAAAAACCAAACACAAAAGAAAATTCAGCTCAAACTTTACGTAGAAACATATCTACTTTAAAGTACATAATACATGCTCAGGTTAACTCAAGTAAACAAGTTTAAAGAGTTCCATCTCCAAGAAGGCTGATTGAAGCCTAACCTAAAACTTAATACTTACTAGCAATATCTCCTGCTTAATAGAAGCTAATTATGTTCTGACATGATTTTGGTTGGTCAACAGTCAATAGTAAAACTTCTTTCTAGGCAAAATTCCATCTCTTTAATGCTATTAGTTTCTAGGCCTAGCAGTTTGCAAAGAAGTCAACTTTTAGAAGCATTCAGCTATAAATTCTAGCTCTGCGATGCTAGCCTTGGGGTATCAGCCTTCTCCTTCTTTCCTTTCTCCACCATGACAGAAGCCAAAATCACAGTTTCTGTTGGAATACACAGGATCTAGTCCTGCACTGGATAATAGGCAACTTGAGCTGAAAAATCAAGCTCAGAATGAGCTAGCAATGCAATTCTAGCAAGAGACAGCAGTTTTCCCTTCTGAAGTGGAGAAAGGCTAGAGGACTGCAAAGCTCACAAAACTAAGAGGTTCATTAAAAAAAACAAACTTAAAAGTTATATATTTATTTTAAATTAGACTCAACAAGTACTAGTCTATTTGTGCTATAGCTTACACCAGCCTTCCTACAGAGAAAATTTCTGGATAAAAATCCTTCAGAGGATTTCACTGTAAAGATGTCTACTCAGCATAGGCACGAGGTGGGCAAGGAGCTACTTGGGTTTATTCACTACAGCTTCAGCAGGTCTTTGAGCCTGATCTTTGATCTTCCAGGCACACTCAGTGGGGCTATGGGTGCCTACATGAGTTTGTGAGGAAAATCCAGGTATTCAAGCAGCTTATCTGATAAAAACCACTACCATTCTTGAGGAGTCAGGAAACTCCTGCAGGAGAACTCCAGCAACTAAGTCCCTTTTGGAAAGCAGGCACTTGTTCCCCACTCTGTCTTACGCAAATCTTGACTTTGCTCTAAGTATTATCAGACATTTTATGTAGCAGATGGATGAATAGCTCCACTACTGCCTGTTCATGTCTGCTGCTTTTTCTAATGTCAGCAACATATGGCAAGTTACAGATAGTTTCACAAGCTCCCATTGAACATGCAAACTGGCTGAATCGCTATCATAGGGCAGTGTGAGGCCCTCCTTCCAGCTCTGCACCTGTTCTTTTAATCCACTGGAAACCCCACTAACAAAATGGCACAACTGACTCCAGGGTCCTACAGAGAAGCACTAACGTCACTGCTTGAAATTCAGTAATAACTTGTATAAAGACACATGAAACACAAAATAAAAATTGGTGTTAATGGAGAGGAAAGTTAGGCCTAGTTTCTCCACTTTATGAGGCATTTTGCTACCGATGGCGACACGTCCCAAATATAATAAATTTATAATAGCTTTTAACATAACTGACTTACATTAAAACTGCCATTCTAGAACTGAACAAACTGACAAGATGAGCGGATTTTACTGCTACCTGTTGACACTTGTCTGCACCAAGGATTTCTGTTTTCAGAAGTTCTGAATCTCCCTTCTTCTACTGCCTCTACAGTACACTTTACTGTGCATATACAGATGGATAGCCACAAAAACACATTCTTAAGAAAATATTTTATAACAGCATATTACAGAATTAAAGTCCGCTTTAACTTTCTAAGTTTAAGCTATTTGTCTAAAGAGGGGGTTTAAAACTCCTCCTTTAAAGCTGGAAAACAAACGCAGTAATATATCTTGAGACTGGCAACAAGAACTAGCTCCAATTTCAGAAATTCAGTGGTTCTACCAGTATTAAATGCTTTCAAAATGACAGCAAAATAAGAAGAACATTCCTTCTGTATTTTCTTTCCCTGGAGAATGCAAAGTACTAGTTAGCATAATTTGGAAAAATTGAATCAATGAAAATGTGCTTCATTATGTTCTCTCCCCCCCCCCAACATTAAGACTGGAGGTTGCCAGCATAAATTCCTTGGTGAGAATAAAATAATTACAGCAAATTTTCCCAAGCTTTCTGTTTCAGTAATCATATATAATCACTGTACTACTGCTTAAATGCATTTCCATTAAGATGCCCAAGAGAGAATTTTGATGGTGTAACTTATCACTGTAATTGGTGACATTCTGAAGACTTCCATGACCACCTGTTTGGCTTCTTGACTTTAAAACTGTAAAATTCACAACTATGGTCCTAAATGCACGATACAAAAAGAAATACATATAGGGAAAAAAAAAATATCAAGACCATCAGGAAAAAAACTACCATTAGCAAAAGAGAAGAAACAAGACTTTGTTTTACAAAAAGTTGGTCATTTGATATTAAAAAGTGCAGGGCTGCAAGTAATTCTACAGAGAGCATAAAATTCTCCAAACATTTTCTAGCTTTAGTACTCAGCATAGTTAAGCTGACATGGTATAATTAGTCTCTTTTCCTCTGTTTACATACTGGGCAGGAACTCCCATAGTATATCCTATACTGACTTGTTTAAATAACATCTTCAGGTATGATGATTAAATTTAAGCCCTTCTTTTTCCTCCAAGCATACAAATTGTTCAGTTAGTAACACATGTACAGGTAACTGTCTATTGGTCTTTCATTTTGTTATGAACAGAGGACTAAAAATAATTCTTAATTAATTAAGAGGCAATTTTACCCAGTTGGTTGTGAAATTACTTTTTCCCTTGCTTATAAATTTAAAGCCATGCAAATTCTTAGTAATTAGAAACTGATTATGTAATAGCACAAAACAGGGCGGAGATCTAGACACCAAGACCGCTCCAGAACAATCCATGACCACTCCAAGATCTGGAACTACAGACAGAACACTAGGATTTGACATATGTGTTTGAAGGTCTTGTAGGCAAATAGCTAACAAGTTGGGCTTAAACAAAAGGGCTGTGGGGTTTTTTGTTGTTTTTGTTTTGTTTGATGTTTTCCTGTTGTTGTTTTGTATTTTAATCAGTTTTGTTTTCTCTTGGGCAATATGAAATGACCTGCTTGTAGCCAATCAAACTATTCATCCTTGCCTCCCCCCTACATGCCTGCCAAAACACACTGCGTACCATTGCAAGATTGGCCAAATTCTTTAGGGAACCAGCATAAGACTGATGTACTCTGTGGTTCTGCCACTTTCTGCTGTGTGCATGTTAGTCTTCTATATTGTGGAGGGAAAAAGATTAAGACTCATTATATTAAAGTTATGCAGGATTATACTTTAAATCTTCTTTGAAAACAAGTGGTACTTGGTGTTATGCACCAGAAATATAAAGAAAGTGTTCTTGGTCCACCACTAAATTTGTTTTGCTTGTTCTGTAATATTAATGCATGCCAGGGGTCAAATGATGTATGTACAGAGTTGGAAAAGAGCAGTAAGACCATACAATCTCAATTACAATGCATAAGGCTTCTGATAGTTTAATTCGAACGCAATAAAGAGTTTATTGGAGGAACCTGAAATAAAAACAGAAGAAAGAGGGCAACATAGACTATAACCGACTTTTTACCCTCTTGGGCGTTAACAAGTAATGCAGCAAGTGACTTCTATTGCCTTCTGTGAACTTCTACTTTAGAGTGGGCGGAAATACAATCCCATGTTCCTAAAACTTATTTATTTATTTGCATTACTAAGGAATTTGCTTTGTAAATTGTAATTTACTTTCATTTTACAAACAAACCTTGAACCAACTTTATAATGTTTTAGAATATAGCAAGTATCTAGACCTTATTAACAGCAACAAGGCAAATAAGATCAGTAATTCTGAAGGACATGCCATGAAAAGGACAACTAAACTTTTTGCTTCTTTTACTATGAAGTATAAACTTGTTTTAGTAGAAAAAAATTAATACATTCAATGCTGAACAGAGATGGAAGATTCAAGGTTCGAGTGACTGTAGATGACACTCACCTGTAAACAATTCTCTCCTTCTGCAAATCCTCCAGACCACAGCACAGTTCTGCAGCATAGAAAATAGCCCTTTCTTCATCAAAGCCAGGATTTCCCATGTTATATATGTGAAACTTCAAATCCCCTCCATTCATTATGGTTAATACTAAACACAGGGCATCTTTCGTCTCATATGTATAGGACAAACTAACCTAAAAATGGGGCAGGGGAAGAAGACGACCATTATTCATTCATAAACCCCAATATAATTCACAGCTCTTTTTTCCAATACAAGCAACATATGAATCCTTTTTTAAAACAAAAAAGAACAAAATAGCCAAGTAGAGAATTACTCCTGTACTTGAAGACACAAAGGAATTCAGACTAATTTGCAGGTATACACAAACCCTACATCACCACACAAAAGTTTAGTGACATATCTGTTTAGGTACCATTGAGCTCCATCCAGAAAATACATTTACTGATGATGCCCCTCAGCTGCACATTATCTATATCACTCTTCATAAAGATAATGTGCACCTATTCATTGTCAAACAACCTTCCTGAACTTCTACAAGACTCAAAGTTTC